CCACTTCTGGTTCTTCCTGGATGGACAGCTAACCTGTTTTCTCAGCCCCTCCGGCAGGTAGGTGTGATCGCAGGGCTGGCCAGACTCTGGGTGCTACGCCCAGGTCCGGCCCACAGACACTGCCCATGTGTGCTCCTTCAAGGGCTGGTCACTGAGATGACTCCCCAGGGTGAACAGGAAAGGCACGTAAAGTCACTAAGCTTGGTATGGGAACTTGACAGTGAATTATCCCTGCTCAGCCACAAAGCCAAGCACCACCAAGATATCTCATATTTAAATGAACATGCTTTCCCCAGTACTGCATTAAAACAGTTCACCCCCCAATGCCTTTGAGCTCCAAGTCTGATAGGACTTCAGCCCCTCAGCTCCTGTGATACCAGCTGTTCCAAACTTTCTAATGGGTGGTTCTCCAGCTATTGAAGCATTCTGTTAGGTGTGGGTGAAAAGGTTAACCACGGAAAGCCTAGTTAACAACATGATGCTTGAGTCTAAGCCATTAGGTAGCTTACAAAGGGTGATGAATGGGAACCTTTCTCTGATCCGTCAGCTTAAAAATACTGTGCAGGTTAGGGAAACTCTTGGTGGGATAGGTGCCCCATTTCAGCACTTTCAGAGACTTGGGGACAGTTCTGTAGCCAATAGGCATTTCAGGTATCTGTAGGGAAGAATTTCTCTTCTATGTTCTTACCCATGCCCATCTCATAAAAACAGACACGATGTAGGCCCCAAGTTGTCTCCTAGGAAATGCTGTTGAGTCTCCTGAACTCCTCACGGTAACACTGCCTCTGCTGCTTTCAGCCATTTATTGCCTTTGGCTACGTGGCCTAAAGCTTATAGTTGTATGCAATTTTCTATGTGTATTAAAAATTGTGCCAGCAATTGTGGGCCCCATTCATGGGAGAGGGATTATAGTAGCTGTATCATTGGTATTCTGCCCACTACCAGACTCTTCACATGGTAACTGCCCCTTTCCTGCTTCATATAACTCAGCTGGGGCTGTTAATCAAGAGATGAGACCCACCCCCAGTAGTGGTACATGACCAATTATGAGTCTATTTAAAGGAGTTTTATAGATCAGCAGTTCTCAACCTGTGGGTCGTGACCCACAGGAACTGCATTAAAGGGTCGCAGCATTAGGAAGATTGAGAACCACTGCTATAGATGCTAGGAGACAGTGCCTCTTCTAAGATCGTGAACCTGAATCTTCTGGGACTCTTTTTTTCCATGAAGCCCAGATTGAGCAAAGAAGGGCTGAGAAACTGTCAAGGGACAAAAGGACTCCTAACGACAGCTGTGAACAAATGCATCCAGCCCTGCTTGAAAACAGGAGCAGCATATCCTTGGATTTGGTTGCATTAGATGGGTGGTTCTCAACCTTACTAACGCCGCGGCCCTTTAATACAGTTCCACAGGTTGAGAACCACTGAATTAGACAATATGCCTTCTAGAATTTAACACATTTAATCTTATGTGAATTGGATTTGTATTACTTTTAAGTGGGAATTCTAATTAATGTCTCATGAACTTGTTAACTACAGGATGCCAAGGGGGTCAATGTACTTTGTCATTGACCTTTCCCTTGAGGGTCTCATTCGGTGCCTAGCCTTTCCTTATGTACACTCATCCCAGATTCAGAAGGCGGCCATCTGAATCTTCCTTTCTCATTAAGTTTATTCTTTGAATCTACTGCCTTGCCAGTGGGTTGCAAAGTCAATGGTGAATATGGACAATACCTCCCAGGTCCCTCACTCCCAGGGACTTTGTCTAAGAGACAGACTGTGGTCTGAGTTTATCATCTTGAAGACCCCAGGGAGAGTATTTGTTTGACTAGAACTACCATAGGTAACTCTACTGTTTAGGACCTCATTAGGAAAGGCTCTATTCATCTTAATCCTACATTTTATTATTCATTGGAACAGAGCTAATAGGGGCCTTGAATTTTGGGGTATGGTGTTGTCATTTTTAAGCATTCCAATACCCAACCCATAGTATAACACAATTGTTTCTTCTCTACAATGCTCTTCCCTTAAGATCTGTGACCCTTTAGATCATTGGCAAACCACAGCCCACAGGCCAAATCTGGCCAATCTAGCCTGTTGCTGTAAATAGTTTTATTGGAACACAGCCACACTCATTCATGTACGTATTGTTAAGGGCGGTTTTTGTAGTTGCTACAGAGACCGTATGCCCACAAAGCCAAAAATATTTACTACCTAGCCCAAAGTTTGCCAATCCTTGCTCTACATTAGTGTTTTACAATTGTTTCTTCACCCTGGAATCCATAAACAATGGTATTCATTTGGAGGGATGATAACCTGACAGACCTTCGGGGCATGCTGCCTGGGGAGGTCTATTCCAGACCATCTAGGGCAGGACATGACATAGTACATACTTGGGATACCCCTGCCTGATAGTCTAGTCTCCTTTTTGAGAGAGCTGGGGACCAATACATGATCTGAATTTTAGTTCTGTGGGTCCTGCATTTGACTTTCCACGTGGATTTCAATCTTGGCCAAGGCTAGATTTACCAAGATGGGTGGTGGTGGTGGGGACCCACGGGACATCCTGACTTTACATGAGACTATCCCTGCTGCTTTGGTTAATACATGGCTCTGAAAGAAGACTTTAAATTAGAGTGTAAATATGGTACCATCACTGTGGGGCGGGGGCAATTTGAACACTCTGTGGTTTGAGAGTAATTGTAGTTTGAGAGTAAGTGCAGGAGTGATAGTGCATCTCTGAATACGTGGTCAGAATCTGTTATAGTTATCACAGCCAGTTGGCCTTTTCCCTTGAACAATGCTATCGCTAAGGTAGAAACACCCACTTTGTAATATGACCTTCCAGGACCCATGAAACTGACTGCCATCCACAACTTTACCCCGTATTCCAATCGTACTGGCTGTGGAATCCTTAAGCATCCAGCACATTTTAAGGTTCCATCCATATCCTCTGCTTTTTTTCTCACTTTATTTTGGCATAAGCTCATTGCAGAAGTTATGACAGAAGTGACTGCTCACTCTCACGCATATTGCTATAGGGGAGAAAAGTGGGTCAAGAACCATTCACACAGATAGAAAGAATGAAACTGCAAGTTTATTTGAAAGTATAAAAATTTAAAAAACAAAATGAAACCAGGCCTAACCAAAAAGCAACCAACACACAACCTTTCCAGTTTACATTAATTTTTGAACACAACACACTATTAACCACTTAGTTGTATTTTTTAAAAATGTCAATTTCAAGGTGTGGGGGGAATGAGTCAGGTGATAAGCTAGCAATCGTAATGAAACGGTTTTAATGCTAAAATAAAATCCTGATCTCAGTTGAGAAAAGACAGCAGAGATCGTTTTCTGGTTGACATTGATCTAAGCAATATATATAAAAAAATCCTGGTTAAAATGAGTTAAAAAAATATTGCTGGCTACTTCTTTGCCATCTTGAGTAGGGAAAAAAAATCCACCCCCCAACCCTGCAGCTTTGGTGTCCTATTTATATGTTTTTCAAAACATTCATTTAAAAAAATCAAATCTATAATAAAAATGTCCCTGTGTTTGTTTTAAAAAACAACATTAATAGGCTTCCCTTATCTACTAAAACCATTTGTTTTTCCTAAGATGCCTGGAAGTAGAAAAGCACATGAGATTAACTCACTGCACCATTAATTAAAATTAGAATCTTTTTCTCTAAACAACTTCCAGAGCACCAGAAAGCAGCCAGGGCCTAACAAAGGCAGAAATAAAGGCCTTCTGACTCACAGGAGATGAATGTTCTTCACCCAGAGTTCCTAACACATTCCGGCTGCCATCAAAAGTTCTTTCTTCACTGGATTATTCAGAAAATAACTCAAGTGTATTTTAAAAATAAAAGACATAAGCAAGTAGGTTCTTTTCCTTAAACACACCACATATACACACATACACACACACCGAAAGACCAAGTGTCTAACGTTCATGTAACATACTTTGGATTTGGTTAAAAAAGGAAGCGTCTACAGAGCAGGATCATTGAATGCCACTTCATCTCCCTTCCTGCAGGCTCGGTTTTAATTAGCATCAAACAGGTTGCTGAAGATTTCTTCGGCTGTGGAAAGAAGCCTTGAATGGGTGACAGCTGCCTGGAGTGGCTCCACCTGGTTCCAGTTTTAGCCCTCGTCTGTCAGCGTGGTTTCTTGCTGCATAACGCCTAAGTTTTTACCCATTCTCCCCCCAGGGAGGCAGGCCCTGTGGCTGTCGGGGCACAGAGAAAGAGGAAAACAAGACAAACATAGAAACTGCAGACCGAGGAGAGATGAGTCCCTCTTTCTGCATCCTTCAAGAACTCGATAAATAATAACCTCAAAGTGCAACAATGCACAAATGTCTGGCACACAGGTTAGTCTGGAGTGACTTATCATCATGGGGCTTGGTGGGGCAAGGGCATCATCTCCTTTTACGTCTTTCTTTGGAACTTGTTAAAAAAAAAAAAGAAGGCTTTCCTATACATATATAAATAGTCCCTTAACTAGAAGGGGAAAACAAAAACCAAACACACTATTTCAAATGCATTTCTAAAATATTTTTTTTAAAAATCCAAATGGAAAATCATGACTCCAAATTGTCTACTGCCCGTGTGTCTCAGAGGAGAAACTACTGGGATGTTAGGATAGGCTTGACCCTGACCTTGACCCTAACTCTAACACTCACCCTAAAGCAGATCCTCACTAGGGATGCTGGTCCTGGGCCGCTGGGAAGAGGAGCACGTACAGTGCAGGGAGTCAGGAGCTCTCCCAGGAGGTATGGAATATGGTTTTCACATGTGTTAGAACCCACAAATACGGCTTTCACATGTGTTAGAAACCCACGGCCTCAAGTCCAAGTGCACGAGTGAAACAGACTTGTAAGCACTTAGGAAACTTTGGAGGCTTGTGTTGAAGCTGTGTGAACGAGCAAGATGGGCTGGGTATGGTTTATAGGCACAAAGGGCCAGATTCAATTTTTGGCCAACTCAAGTCAGGTCCTTATTCTTTGGCTACAGGCAGGCCAGCTGGGAGGGTGACAATCCAGAAACCAAGGATGTGATTATGAAGCCACAGCTCTTGGCAGCCTGCACTTCAGGAGCTGAGGACCTGGATAAACTAAGAGCAGCACCTTCCTGCCCAATCCGGAATGAAGCTGATGAGCTACACGGCTGGAGAACTCTCTCAAATAAGATTCTCAGGCAAAATCCTAGAGTCAGAACCAATGCAGGGTAGACAGATTCAAAGTCCTTCTCATGTCAGAAGTTTTCGCGGGCACATACAGGATCATGTAAGGCAATGATGGCCTCCTGGTAGGATCATCCAGCCCAAATATCCCCAAATGTGATAAGGCAGCAGCTGAGCAGAGAAAAGACTGGTCCAGGGTCTTCTCCCCTTCTGAATACCCAACACAGCACAGAAACACTGAAAAACTACGTAAATCCCACTCCAGCCTGCTGCCTGCCCAACAGAAACAGAAGGATGTAAGACAGGAGGTTGTGATCCTGGGTCTCGAAGGAAGAGTGCCTTCCCAGAAAAGATGCACAATGGATCATGTCAACAGAAAGGACAAAAAAAATGCCAAGTCACCCTCTGAAACACACCCCTGAAATCTTGGGGAGGAGGAAAATGGAGAGACAGCTAACACCCCCAAACTGCAACTTGAGACACGCCTCCTTACAGGGGCTTAGAGAGCTTCCCATGAACACAGGTTGTTAGAATGGTAACAAGTCAGAGCAGATTAACCCACATGGACTTTGGAATAACTGGAATTTATACTTCTTCGGTGCCCTGGCTGGGCACAGAGTCCCTGGGTTCGGCAGTGCCCTCCTCAGGAGGGCCAGGCTGTCCCGGGCTGCGGCCCGTGTCCTCCACGCTCAGGAGGCTGCTGGCTGCCTGGGAGCTCGCACTGTCTGCACTCCCCGACCGGGAGCGGTAAGGGGGCAGGTCGGCTTGGTTCAGAGACTCCGTGTCAGAAGAGTAGGGAGGCGGAGGAAGGTCATACCACGCAGGCCTGCAATGCGGGTAGAGGGGAGAGGAGAGGGAAGAGACCACGTTAGAGCCGAGACAAGCCAACATCGGCCCGTTTCTGAGGCGATGCTTCCAGTGAGAAATGAGATATTCCCCACAAGTACAAAGGCAATGAAAGGCCCAGGATAACCACTAGACTGAAACAAGACAGAGGCAACTGTAAAGGTCGGTGGGCTCTAGCTGGCTTGGGTCCCAAACCACATCCTCTGGGTAGACTCAGAAGGTGGTCACCAAGCAAGTTCTTCAGCTCAGCCTGGGTGGTTTGAAAGAGTCTCTCTGCTCCACCAGCCAGAAGCCCGGTGGCTGAGCGGCCTGGCTGGGGTCTCGACCAGGCCTTTGATGGGTACACAGAATGTGGGGTTCTCACTGAAACCCAACTCTTCCTGGCTGGGACGCCCTCTCACCACCTCAGTCTCCATCTGCAGTAGGGGCTTGAAATGAACGTATTTAATGCAAAAGACATTTTATTTTTTAGTTATCATTGACTGAAGACTGGGAGCTGGGAACTTTGCCATGCACCCGACTTTGGTTACCTTGTTTAGTGCTTGCCAGCATGCTATGCGGTAGGCTATACTTTAATGCCTATTGTACTGGTGAGGAAACTGAGGCACAGGATCAGAAATAACTAGTGAGCAGTGACATTACCCTACATTGGACGGTCCGAATGAAGAGGTTATGAGCAGAAACTTTATAAGGTGAGGGAGGTCCTGAATTCCTACGCTTATTAGTAAAGAGATCCTTAAACACCACCCCTTCCCTGACCCCCTGAAGCTTTGTTTACTGTCAATGAAGAGGGAAAATGAAGATTAAATAAAATAAGAGCTGCCAGTGGAGAGGCTCCATGCAAGAGCCCAGTCACACTGGGAACACGGCCTGCAAAATGCCTAACACCCTACATGGTGCCTAACGCCCTGGGCTCCGAGAGAGAGGCAGCCTGGGCAGGGTTTAAGTCTACTACTCCCTGTAGCTGCAGAACTCTGCTGTTTGGCTTTATACAATAATGGGGGTTTCTCATACAGTTTCATTTGTAACGAGGGCCCTACTGCTTAAAAAAAGCCCAAGAGCTCTCTATTCTACCTTCTTCATTTTATAAATGAAGTCGAGAAGAGTTAAGAAGAACTTATTCTCTTATTCATTTATCCATTCATTCAACAGATATTCACCAAACCTATCATCTGTGATGGCAAGTGAGCTAGTCAGTCAGTGACCCGAACCAGTGTGGCATTTCTGGGAATGTCAGGCCTCTGAGTTGGCCAGGATCTTGTTAGTCTTCAGACAAGAGATTCAACACTCCAGAGCCTCAGTTTCCTCATCTGTAAAACTGTAATATAAAGTCTTCTTGCATTCTGCAAGGACAATGTAAATATCCTATCGGACGCTGCTACTGCCCACAGCAGCTGAATCCAGGCTCTTGGCACCAACTAGGAACCCAGGTAGGTGCACACGTTCTCCTGCAACAATCTCCCTCCCCATCAGTCTCGCCCACCCAGCACGCACCTTTGGTCCAGCAAGGCCTCTGAGTAGGAGGGTGGAGAACCTACTTCTGAGGCATTCTGCTCAGCCTGGCTGGCCACGTACTGGATGCCGTTGTTGACGTTGTAGGTGACGTTACAGTGGTGGGGGTGGTCTAGGACCACCAGGCGGGAGAGCAGCACAGGGTGCTGAAGCCGGTGCACAGGCAGCGTCATGAGGTTGTTCCGCTTTCGCTGGTGGTGCAAGACCAGTGCCAGTAGGGCCACCACCAGCACGAAGATGACGGAGCTGCCGATGATGGCATAGGTTATGCTGGGGTAGTACACAAGCTGGTTCTCTGAAGTCACAAACACCTGTCCGCTGCCTGGTTCTGAAAACCCCAGAAAGAAGAGAGGAAAAGAGAGAGGGTTACCAGCCTGGCCTCTTTTGTGTCTTAAAGCCAGCTGCAGGACTTGCATGCCAATATTCCCAACAGCACTATTCACAATAGACAAAATGTGTAAACCACCTAAATGTTCACCGACTGGTAAACAAAATATGGTATATCCATACAATGGAGTATTTGCCCATGAAAAGTAATAGATACAGACCATGTATTGCATGATTCCACTTACAGGAAATGTCTGGGAAAAGCAAATTTATAGAGGTAGAAGTTAGGTTAGTGACTGGGGCCAGAGAGGGATCAGGAATTAACTGTAAGAGGGTATGAGGGATCTTGTCAGGGTGATGGGAAGGTTCTAAAACTGGTTTATGGTGATGGTTGTACACACTGGTAAATTTATGAAGTCATTGAATTGCACATTTAAATAGGCAAATTTTAAGCAATGCAAATGATACTTTGATAAAGTTAATTTAAAAAGTCAACCTCAGAAAACATAATATCCAAAGAGTAGGAGTGAGAGTTCATGTGGCAGGAAGCAGTTTTTCACTGGACGTATTATAAGATAACACACCTGAAGAAGACGGGTAGATGCTTCTGGGGTTCCTCATGTCTGCAGAGCATCTGTCTTATGCTAGGCCCCCACACAGAGCTTTTGAGATAGACTAGCACAGCACGGGCTAATAGCATGCAAGGATCATACGGGGTTCAAATCCCAGCCCCTGAACTTATGGGCTGCATGCCCTTTGGAAAGAAAGTGCTGTCCTGTTTCAGAGTGGAACAGTAGTGGTCTCCAGCACTCTGGACTTCTGCAAAGATGAATGAGTCAATAGTTGCCATGCACTCAAGACCACAGCTGCCACACAGTGGTAGGTCTAAGTGTGTGCTCGACACACACAAACATGAGCTTGTGGTCACATCTCCTTGCCCCATAACAACTCCAGGGAGCAGGCATTATAATCCCCCCTTTTCAAGATGAGAAGAAGGAAGCTCAGAGAGGTTAGTTCCCCTGACCCAGGTCACACAGTTTGGAGCCGTGTGTGATCTGAGCCCAGGGCTCTGACTTTGGAGCTTTGCCTCAACACTCTGTTCTACAGCACCCCCAGAACACCTGCCAGGCAGCCTTCAGGGGTCCTGGTGAAAGTCTGCTGCACGTGTGTGGGGACAGACAGACACAGATGTTCAGGCTTTCTTGCCTGTGGCCTTAGGAGTGAGATCTGGGCTGTCCCGTCCATACCCCAGACAGGTGGGAGTAAATAGAAGGCTCCTTGTACAGTGATGCTATGTTGCAGCCGCTTGGCATACTGCCACTTATACTCTCCCGGGTGTAAACGAGTACAGGGCCCTCCCCTGTGTGGACTGCGGATGGCAGGCACAGACCTTCCATGTAGCCCAGCTTCATCGCTGCCAGGAGCTGGGTAAGACCGACCTCCCATGTAACTCAGCTCAACTTATATGCTGTATGCCCTTTGGAAAGTGCTATCCTGTTTCGCTGAATAAAGCATGTTCTCCCGACCCTGCCTCAGCTGCCCTCTGGTCTGTCCAAAGTGAACCGTCTGCATGAGGACATGGTACCCCGTACACTGCTAACTTCCTCCTCCCCACATGTGCTAATGGGCCACATTTCAAATCCTCAGGTTAGGAGCTTTCCAGTTAGTAGGACACACCTGGCAACCACGGCAAGGTCCAGGTGGGCACAGGAGATGGGGGTGGCCCCTCTTCATAAAAAGCTGGGGGCTGCTCATCTCTGTGGAAGAACAACAGCTACCAGCTACTGTGGCCTTAGCTGGAGGAATAATCTAAATGCGACCATGTGAACAAATCTGCTTATTCCTGGTGTCAGGCAGTGAGGGGTTTGGGGTCCACAGGGACCAAGGCAGACATGCAGTGACTCTGCCCTGGCACAGGCTACGTGCTTTGCTGTCCCCCACCCTCCCCCTGTCACTGCGGTGTAGATGTTTCCCTCATCCCCAGATGCAGGACGTGCCTGGTATATAGTAGGCATATGCCTAAAACTCAATGAAAAAAAAAGTTTATTTGCCCTAATCACATAGGTGCTATTATTATTTCTACTTGTCCAGTGAACAGATTGGCTCAGACAGGTGAATTAACTTGTCTAAAGCCCTAGAAGAAATAAGCAGAGGAACCAAGACTAGAACCCAAGACTAGATTTGTCCTAAAAAAAACCCCACAAACTGCAAAAATCACTACCTTCTTTCCTGATTCCCCAGATAATCCCAGTCTGACACAAGTGAAGACCTTCCCTCTCAAGCTCCTGGCACTGTGTGTTAGTTTTTCCTTCTAGCCACGCCCCAATGTGGATGAAAAGCTACAAAGAGCCTCCAGATCCCTGGCAGTTTCAATGATTCATCTATCCAGAAAGAAGCAAACTCAAGTCCAGCCATGAGGCAGAATCGGGCTGCAGAGCAGCTCAGGGACGGGGCAGTTTTGGAATTTTCTGAAGACAACTGCTGGAATGCTGTGTTCTCAGCTTACATAATTACAAGCTGGGTGTGGGCTTGTGTGCGTGTGAGTTTGAGAATTCAAGCTTGGACTAAAATGCCTTCATTTGGTTATCTATCTCACACACAGACCTGGGAGTCAAGGTGCCTTGGGGTCGAAGCCTGGAGTCATCACTTCCAGCTGTTTAAGCTCAAGTCAGTCACTTCACTTTTAGGAGGCTCATCCTCCTAGTCTGTGAAATAGTGGGGGGTAAATAACCGTATCCACATCTCCCTCCCTAGATTATCAGGAGGGTAAGGAACGAGTGCCAAGCACAGTGCCAGACAAGGGTTTGCACCCAGGAATGCTAATAGTTCTTTAAAAAAAAATTATGATGATAAAATATGCATAACATAAAATTTACCATTTTTAAATACATAGTTCATTGGCCCACACACTGCTGGGCAACCGTCGCCACTACCATCTCCAGAATTTTCATCATCTCTCACAAGTTAAAGCTAGCGCTCTCTTTTTAAATTTCGGATTAATATGAGGGTACAAATGTTTAGCTTACACTGTTTTCATTTCTAAGCTAAAGTTCAAGTTGCAGTCGAGCCCTTCACATTGTGCACAGTAGTTGAGATCCCACCAATCACCCTCCCTCTTCACCCCTCCCCCCCCTCCTCTCCCTTCCCCCTTGTTAGATTATACTTGTCTTCTTCTTTCCTGTGGGCGTGTAGCTGTTTATATATTGGTTTCATATTAGTATTGAGTGCACTGGATACTTTTTTTCCATTCTTGTGATACTTGACTAAGAAGAACCTGTTTCAACCCCATCAGGTAAACACAAAAGCCCAATACTAGCTGTTTCTTGCCTTCATCCTCACCAGCTTTTCTGGACCAACGGTAGAAGCTGGGGGAGGATGGAGGAGAAGACAAGGATGGCCCAGATGCCACTCCAGTGAGACCCCTTTCTTTCTTTCTTTTTTTTGCAGTTTTTGGCCGGGGCTGGGCTTGAACCAGCTACCTCTGGCATACGGGGCCGGCGCCCTACTCCTTTGAGCCACAGACGCTGCCCCAGCGAGACCCCTTTCTTAAAGGAGGAAAGTGGGTAGATTTTTCACATGGAAAACAAACGGTCCGGAGATATTAAAATGCTGACTTCTGTGTCAACACACAAGATTTTAAGAATGCAAGTGGGAGCCCTTTAAAATATAAATAATGCCTGTGAATATATACGAAATATAATGCCAAAGAATATATAAAACGCCTGTGGAACTTTACGGTCTCACTTATGTCTGGAAAGCAGTCTCGTCCCTTAGACTGGCTCCCTTTGGCGGGTGAGATGCTGCCATCACATTTGCTTGAGAAATTATGATGTGGCATAACTCAATGGTGCCCGGTCTCGTTTTTGCTCTCTGTGTAAAATGTCATCTCGTATTAATTCATTAACTAGGCCCACTTTTCTTAAGAGCTTAATGAGGCCGCTGGCCAAATTACTAATATCGGAGTTGCCTGGGACCTAAATTCCAAGTGCATAATCCATGGATAATGAAGTTTCCATTTATTCTGGCCGTCCCTCAAGCTAATGCCCTTATGCTCCACTGTCAAGCATCTTGAATTCCTGTCCTGTGTCTGCGGCTTCTCCTGCATTAATTTCAGGCAATCTGGTTTCTACCCAGAGACCACTACGCTATCCAAACTGCCGGCAGCTCCACAGCCACCTGTGGTGGGGCAGGCTGTGTTCTGCACAACTCCCGGGGTGCCCTCTACCTCAAAGTCATCATGCATTTGTTTAGTTATCACGACAGTTTTCTAGCAGATGGCAGTCAAGTGTCTTGAGGAGAAGTGCCTTTTATTAATTCACTCAGGGGTGTAGTCTGGACTGGCAGAGGCGCTAAAGCAGCTGACACTTGTGACTTGGTGCTTTTTTTTTGCTTCCAAAAAAAAAAA